GAGAGCGCCGCGGCGGCCGAGTGCGCAAGCGCCGCCTCCTAAGGTGGGGCGGGCTGCGATTGGCTGGGCGCGGTCGGAGCCCCGCCCCAAGGCCCCGCCCACATGGGGGTCTCCTCGGCTGAGCCGCGGCTTCCGCCTCTGGTCCTCACGCCCGGCAGCCTCTTCCACCTCGGGGGCTGCCCCCAGGTCTCTTCCTACAGCCACGGGGACTCCGAAGGCCGTTATCGAGTGTGCATCCAGACACTTCCCAAATGTCACGTCCACACGCCTTCCTGGAGAGCGCGCCCAGGTGCAGGTCACCTGCTCGCGGCCGGTGGGAGCCCGCGGCGTCGCCTCTCCTCGGAACCGACCCTCACAGGACTCAGAAGGACGCGGCTTCTACGCAAGGCCCATTGACCGAACTTCACCTGCTGTACTCGGGGAGGCAGAGATGGGCGTTTGATGTCGAAGCTCCTGGGCGCTGGGTCGAGAATGCAGGCTTTGGGGCCAGCACACCTGGTTCAACTCCCAGCAGACACTTATCCCTGCAGCGTGGGCCTGGGCAACTCAGGGGAACCCGTGTGGGATCAAGCGCCCCGTCTGTAGGATGGGGAGAGGAGACAGATCTACCCCAGGGCTGTTATAGGAATAGAACTTATAAAGAGAGACTCGTTGAGAACCTGGTTGGGGCGCTCTGCGAATGGTGGTCATTTTTATCCTTCTCAAACGTTGTTATCCTTATTCATAGTTTATCCTTACTCAGACTTTTTAAAGCACCTGCTACCTGCTGTCTGCCAATTCCTGTGCTAGATCTTGTAGATACAGAGATTAAGAAATCCACTTTTGGGCCGACCCGTGGCTTGGCGGTTGTGTGCACGTGCTCCGCTGCTGGTGGCCCGGGTTCGGATCCAGGGCGCGCACCGGGGCACTGCTTCTCGGGCCATGCTGGGGCCACGTCCCACATACAGCAACTGGAAGGATGTGCAACTATGACGTACAACTATCTACTGGGGCTTTGGGGAAATAAAAGGAGGAGGATTGGCAATAGATGTTAGCTCAGAGCCGGTCTTCCTCAGCAAAAAGAGGACGATTAGCATGGATGTTAGCTCAGGGTTGATCTTCCTCACACACACACACACAATCCATTTTTAATAAATTAAAGAAGATGCTCTCTGCTCAGGGTTTGACTTCTGGAGCACAAACTCCTCATACACCAAAAACGTGAGGACATCGTTGTCAGGCGCCATGGCCACCGTCTGGCTGTCGGTGGTGAGGCAGCCAGGTGCCCGTGAACTCGCCAAGTCTAAGTAAAGCCTGCATGGGGGAGGGGGGTGAATCCTTCCCAGGCAATTCCTTCATTCCCCATTGTCAGCTCACCAAGAACAAGTGCAACCTCTGATTGGCTTTCTTCCTTCCCAGGGTCCAGGACCACACCTTCCTTTCATTCATGTATTTGTTCATTCAATAAGTATTTGTTGAGTGACTACAAATAAATATAAATTTGCACACCTGAGCCAGGGTCTGGAACAGAAGAAAATTTCCAGCTCTCCTTAAATGTACCAGCTTAATTCATCCAGCCCATATTTACACCACGCTGTCTTCTAAGAAATCGGCACAATACCAAAATTTAGTTCAACAGGGTAGAAGGTTCATTCATTTCATGAACATTTTTAGAGCACTATGAGCCAGGCATGGTCTAGGTTTGGGGAACACAGAGCTTTCTAAGACATCACTTCCCCTCAGTTCACAGCCTGGAAGGAAGAAGAGAAACAGTGTTACAATGTCTGTCTTATAAACAGGTGTGACTTGGTGCTGTGGGACCACAGAGGAAGGAGGAACCAACTCTCCAGCTGTCATCCTGGGGGCTTCACAGAGAGGATGACATCTGAGCTGGGTCTCGAAGATGAGCGGTTTTCCAAGCATAGAAGGGAGAAGCTCATTTGGTGTAACTCCAGGAAAATGAGAATCTCAGATTTCATTCATTTTCATTCCTTCATTTCGTTCCCTCAGATTGCAAAAATCAGCAAGAGGAAAACTGTAAACAACATAAATGGCCAACAAAAAGAGATTGGTTACATCGTTGCACTTCCAAATGACAGAAAGCTCGGTGACACTTACAGTCATATTTTATCTAATGACACACAAGATGCTCTATCCCGATTGTAGTGGTAGTTACAAGACCATATGTGTTTGTCAAAATCACAGAACTGTACACTAACATGTAAGTTATCCCCAATTTTTAAAAATGGGAAAAAAACTTAAAAAAAAATCAAGTTATAAACAAGTATGTACAGTGTGAGCCCAAATTAAAAAAAAAAAAAACAGTCTGTGTTTAGATGAAGAATATATTGGGTAAAATTTATTATCTTGTATCTGAAAACTTCTAGAATGTTATTAAAGTGATAAAATTGTAATAAAATGAATTTTACGTGAAATATTTTCGAAAAGTGAAATTAAATTTTAAGTCTCAGGTTTGTCAAAGAAAAACGTATGTCTGTATGTGAAAATATTGTTACTGTATTCAATTAGGTTTTTACATTTCTCTCTATATACATATACATATATATTCCTGGAAAGCGATACATCAGAATGTTGGCAGTGGTTGTCTTTGAGGGGGACTGTGGGTAGTTTTCGTTTCCTTCTTTGTGATAGTTTGTACTTGGCGGATATTTTGTCTTGAATGTGCATTATTTTTATCATTGGGGGAAAAAAAACCCACAAATGTTACTCTAACAAAACCTAGGCAAGAACGAACCATGGAGAATTGCTTTCAGGAAGCTAAAATGACTTTTCGATGCAGTTATCTATACCATCCAACCTAAATTTTTCCCAGAAGTATTTATCTGAAACACATTTCAGAGATTGTCTAGCATCCTTGTAAGCCACAGTCAGGAAAACCATGAACATAGAAAATGTTTTCACTCCGATTCTTCTGTTAAGGTTTTGATAAAGAAAATAAGGTAAAACAGAAGGGGGCTCTCCAGGGGTGTGTTTTTCCCAAATGTGCCGCCAGCCTGGGCTGTCTGGATGAAGTGGTTAGTTGTCAACCTTGAGCATGACCGGGCCGCCTCTCCTTTCTAGAAATGCAAGCAGCCCAGGAAGAGGGTTCCTGCGAGAACAGAGTGTAGCCCATTCTGTCCTAGAGATCTGAGTGTGTCCCAAATCTAGAATATGTAAAGCTGCCTAATGAATGGTTGTGTGACAATACAGTCGGGGGAAGTTCTGAGCTGGGGGTGGGTGGTGGAAGATGTGGCCCTCCCTTTAAGAGGAGGAAACTGAAGCCCAGAGATGCGAAAAGGCTTCGCCCCCTGGCGCCCAGCTCATTTGGGGCAGAGCTGGGACTGGAGCCTTGAGTGAACCAGGGGCTACTGATTCCAGATCTAGTTGCCACACTATTGCGACTGAGGAGTGGTCTCTTTAAGGGACAACTAAGAGTAAGCATGGTATCAGTGGGTCTCCAGTGCTGCCCCAGTAGTCCGATCCCCTGCGGAAGAGATGGGGCCCTGGCTTCATTA